ACTACAGTGTAATGAAGGGCAATGAATAGGTCCTCAGGACAACAGGAATGAATGAGACTTGCCAGAATATGTGTTGTGAAAATCTCTGGTTCTTAGTAAGAACAAAGGAATTCTTTCATGACTGTCACTTTCTTCCTCTATTATCTTCACTCTTTTGATTATTTTACATTCAGTTTCAGTGATCATCTGTGCAGTGTCTCCCCAGTGCACTTTCTCAATGCTAGTGTGATAATGATCAAACTCAGGGTCTATCACCACTAGCAAGTGCTCTGCCACTGAACTGTATATCTAGAGCAAAATGGTGTACTCTGAACTGCTCCACCTTGTATTTATTTCAATGTAAATACGACTCTCCACAGCTCCTTTGTTTCTAGGCAGTGGATAAGTGTAAGGTTTCAGGATTGGTCAAGTCCAACTTTACTAGCAGACAGCTGGAGAAAATCTTGAAGAAGTCTGGTTTCAAGCACCAGCCTGTCTACAACCAGGTGAGAAACTTCACACTCCTCTTAGTCTCATACTTTTCCTTATCTCTGTTCTGATGCCTCCAGTCCATTTGTCACTTCCTCAATTCATCATGAACTTTGCTGCTATTAGCAGCCTTCCCCCCACAGAAAATACAGTTCTGGGTCATTACGTTTTTTTCATAATAACATGAAATTGAGACTTTCCAATATAAATTTTAAATATATATGTGCATTTCATATTTTTTTCAAAAAATTCTATCATATTTTTCAGGAAACATTCTAAATAATTGTTAGACCAAGGAAGAATATTTCTGTTTCCTAACTTATCTCAAAATAGTGTCAGTTTGTCACATGGACAAATATAACCAGATAGTGTATATCTCCACATACTTGTTTTCTTTATATTTTCCAATATTTCCTTTAATTTTTAGAATTACACTTGTTTGTGTGCATGTGTTGTGTATATGCATTAGTGTGTGTACGTGTGTGTGTGTGTGTGTGTGTGTGTGTGTGTGTGTGTTATGTTGCATATGTGGAAGAGGACAGGAGATGACTTGTCAGTTTCACAGAACAAACTCAGGTCTGGCTTGTCAGCAAACCTCTTAACCCACTGAGCTGTCTCACTGGCCCTATTTATGAAACTTTCTTATGAACTTCTTCAAAGTTAGTTTCTCTAAGTGTTCACTTTCAGAGAGTTACAAAAATATCTCCCAAGAATGAATATGTGATCAGACATTGTTAGACTTACATTGAGAGAAATTAGCAATAATTCTTTTACATAATATGAACCTGTTTATATTTAAATTTCTGGAAATGTCTTCAAGTTGTAATGCAAAATGGAATTTGAACTTCAATATCTGATTCATAACATATTAGATATATTTGTAAAATGTCTTGTACCATTATGCTCCCTGCACACACACACATATCTATGAAAGTCCTTTTGGAATCCAATTTAGAGTCCACAATTGATAACCCCTTGATGTGAAAATTTTGGGATAGAACATTTTGTAAACCTGTTTTATAATCTAAGTAATTAATAGAATCTCCTCTTTGTATTTTTTCAGGAACAATTTACCCAAAAGGGCAAAATGTTCTTTACTTCTTCAAATATTTTCTTTAAGTATCTATGTCTGAATCATGTAGTAAGATATTGTCAAAATAATTCTAAATAATAGACTGAGGAAACTGTAAACAAATCAATTCCAATGGTTGTCACATAATCTATTGGAAAAAGAAGGTTAATCTGGGCATTCAATTACTGTAATATATTATGTCCCTGTAAATTTAATGCTATATTAGTCACATAAGGCTTTAATTTCCTCTTTGTCCATCTGGCCTATATATTTGACCTATCTCTTGTTTTGTTTTACCTGAGATATAATTCCAATCCCTAAAGTCGTACATTTGCCTCCTGAAGAGTTCAATTTGATTCTCAATCTTCCTCCCAGATTTCTCCTATTTTCTCTCTCTTCCTGTCAGCCCCACCTATCCTTTCTTCTGCCTTGCTATTGGCTGTTCATCTTTTTTTTTATTGAGAAAAGGAGAAAAAAAAAACAAGTTTCCACCTCCTCCCAGCCTCCCATTTCCCTCCCCCTCCTCCCACCATTCTGGTGGCATTACTGTTATATCTTCCCCTATGTCTACAAGTCCATTAATATTTATTCTTATTTTAAAATTTGGTCTTTGTTCCTTTATAGAAGCTTGCCAACATATTTTCTTTATGGCATTTTCTTTCTTTTTTTTTTAAGATTGTAATTCATGTTTTTTTTTTTTTTTTTTTTTTTTTACTTAGAACACAGAAGGTGGATTTAAGTGAAGTAGAGGGATGGGGAAAGAGAGGAAGGGCAAGCAGGTGTGAGGGAGAGAGAGTTTTAGAGAGAAAAAGGAAGCTCTCAAGACAAAGTCAAGCTGAAAGGTTAATGAGTAACTGGAATGCTGACCCTGGTACACCAGCTGACAGCACAAAGCTCTTAACTGAGTTAACAAATTATAACTTAAATACTTCAAAAAGCTTAATTATGGTTACAAAATGAACTTCAGAAAAATGATCCTTTATCATAATATCCATTATTAAATACTATCTATTGCCCATGATTAAGAGATTAAAATACTGTTTTATAGAAATAGTGAAATGGCCTTTTGATTAAATACTAGTGTAATATCAAGAGCCCAAAGATTATTACTGCTCTTTATGGCATTTTCTAAACCTTTTGTTTTCATCTTTTAAAGCATCCATAGAAGTAGGTTTTTTTTCTATAGTAGGCATTAGGTTTCTGCGTGGGAGTTTCCCCCATGGTGACATGGAATGACTGAACCAAATTTGACATGGTATCTGCAAAGGGTTACCTTGACTGTCCTTTGTTGACCTTCACTCATTGGTATAATGTTTCACCTTCTGGATACTCCAGTCTTCATTTGGATAATCCCTCAAAGAAATATTGTTCCCAGGAATACCCTGTCTACAAGGTAACCAGGTTTGCACTAATTAAACACCAAACATTTTGATTTTGTTTTATGTCTCTGGAAATTATCCTAGCCACTTATCATCATGGTTATCAGATTTACTATTGACTGTATGTTATATCCATTCTTTTATGGGTGGTAATCTTGCCTTTCATAAATTAATTATTCCTTTTCATTTTAAATTAACATTTTCAAAAACCAAAGATTCAGTTAGTATTGTCTGGCTTCTAAGTTTGGTATCATTCTATTTACAGATGAAGTCAACTTTTATAAAAGAAATCAGTGACAGTTTCTTTTGAGTGCTGTATAACTTTAGTAAATATCTGTGGGAGTCTTCTGTTTTGTGTTGATTTCATTCATTGGTTAAATAAAGAAACTGCCTTGGCTTTTTGATAAGACAGAAAATTAGGTAGGCGGAGCAAACAGAACAGAATGCTGGGAGAAAGAAGCCGAGTCAGACAGACTCCATGCCTCTCCTCTCTGAGACAGAAGCAGGTTAAGAATCTCCCTGGTAAGCCACCAGTTCGTGGTGCTACACAGATTATTAGAAATGGGTTGATCTAGATGTGAGAGCTAGCCGGTGGGAGGCTGGAGCTGATGGGCCAAGCAGTGTTTGAAAGAATACAGTTTCCGTGTAATTATTTCCGGTAAAGCTCCCGGGTGGTGGGACGCAAATATCTCTGTTCTCTTTCTAATTCTTTTATTCTGTCCCAAACTTTCAAAGCTGCTGCATAGCATAGAGTCAAGGTGCGGTCATCATATATAGACTGCCTTTATTCATCAGCATAATTCCCTTCTCAAAAAAGTTGATCTTGGGAAATTTCAATACCTCTAACCCTACTTCACTGTTCAATTGTCCTAGCTCCATCTTTCCACAAGCATGACTGCAATTGAGGACCAGATTTTGATACTGCTGTGACCAGTTCTTCCAGTCATATAGGATAATTCTGCTATAAGTTGACCTTGATTTTAACATCTGCCTCACAAAAGGTGAATTTGTACCATATGATATTATCATTTCTTTAAATTTCCTCAAATCTAACATCTCCACAAGAATCCAGTTAGCTCTTATACAGCATTCTATGTAACTGTCATTTGACACTTGTTTCTGTAGGGTGACTAGATAAATTAATGATGTTGTTTAATAGCCTTGATCATTCCTCTCTAATTTTATAATATTATGGTGGGGTAGCTTATCCTATAAATTCTTCTTCCTGTATCTGAATATCTCTTAAGGCTTGTAACTTATTAGTCAAAATGGCATTATTTTCTCTAGTAATTTTTTCTAAGACCTATATCTTGGCACTCATATCTACCAAATTTTTAGGAATTACCAAATCACTATTTTTGAGAATTTCCAAAGTGAAAATGCTTATTATTAACATTGCATAAATCCCAGTTAAGTTACATATCCCCTTATTTAATTGCTCCATTCATAAAACATTCATTATGGAATCATACAGTGACCTAACTCCCTCCATTGTAATGCTGTTTCCCATTTTTAGCATAGGGGAATTCTCTCCTTTTTGTAAAACTAATTTCCTCCAAAAGTCCCATCAAATCTGCTGAGGATGACAGTAAAGTGTGAGACTAACTACTACTGTTTAGCACATCTGAGCAGAGAACACAGGTGGTGCACAACCTGACTGATTACAACTGCAACTGTTTGTATGCAGCTATGAGCTGAGAGTGTGTGGCAGTTGCAACAACAGTAGAAGCTCAAACAGGTACCAAGGCAGCTACCTAGCTTGGCAGAAAATCAAGGAGAAGAGCCCAGAGGAAGCCAACAAACCATGGGTAATAGTGAGCTGGCTATATAAAAAATGCACACAAGTGATCGTGTAGAAGAAGCCCTTCTGGTGAGAGCTGCCTGAAGGCAGAGCTGACTGATGGTGAGGGACTAACTACAAAGCATTTGGAGTCCAAGAGCCTGTGGAGATTGCTATATAATAGCAGCAACAGAAAAATCCCAGACCCACTCAGAGGAATGGGGCAAGAGTGGAAAGCCAGCTTTTGAAGCACGGAGTCTCTGGAAGCTGTCGCATTGGAGTGGTAGGGATGAAGTGACTGAGCTCCTAGGCCATGGGCTCATCTGGGCTGCGTCGGGACGAGTGACGAGTGCAGCCCCTTCCCCTCCCTCTTCTCTCTGTGTGGCCCCGGCTAGTGACGTTGTGTGTGTGATGGCCGCCGCGAGGCCGGGAAGGTGAAGCTGGGACAGGTGGAGTCAACACCATCAGTAGCCAACCTGGACCTGAATCAACACAGAAGAGACCTCAAGTTCTTTTCATCATCTTGACTCCAGCCATGTCCACGATGTCCACCCTGTAAAGGTCTCTTACCAGCTAAAAACGAGATGTCCCTGCTCTTCTCTCGATGCAACTCCATCGTCACCGTCAAGAAGGATAAGCGACACATGGCTGAGGTGAATGCTTCCCCGCTCAAGCACTTTGTCACTGCCAAGAAAAAGATCAATGGCATTTTCGAGCAGCTAGGGGCCTACATCCAAGAGAGTGCCAGCTTCCTTGAAGACACCCACAGGAATGCAGAACTGGACCCAGTTACTACAGAAGAGCAGGTCCTGGACGTCAAAGGGTATCTGTCCAAAGTCAGGGGTATCAGCGAGGTACTGGCCAGGCTACACATGAAGGTGGCTTTTTTCGGCCGGACGAGCAATGGGAAGAGCACCGTGATCAATGCCATGCTCTGGGACAAAGTTCTGCCATCTGGAATTGGCCACACCACCAATTGCTTCCTGCGGGTGGAGGGCACAGATGGCCACGAGGCCTTCCTCCTCACTGAGGGCTCAGAAGAGAAGAAGAGCGTCAAGACTGTGAACCAGCTGGCACATGCCCTCCATCAGGACGAGCAGCTGCATGCAGGCAGCCTGGTGAGTGTGATGTGGCCCAACTCCAAGTGTCCACTTCTGAAGGATGACCTCGTGCTGATGGACAGCCCTGGGATCGATGTCACTACGGAGCTGGACAGCTGGATTGATAAGTTTTGCCTGGATGCTGATGTGTTTGTGCTGGTGGCCAACTCAGAGTCCACACTGATGCAGACGGAGAAGCAGTTCTTCCACAAAGTGAGCGAGCGTCTCTCCCGGCCCAACATCTTCATCCTGAACAACCGCTGGGATGCCTCTGCCTCGGAGCCTGAGTACATGGAGGAGGTGCAGCGGCAGCACATGGAACGCTGCACCAGCTTTCTGGTGGACAAGCTGGGCGTGGTGGATCGAGCTCAGGCTGGGGACAGGATCTTCTTCGTATCTGCCAAGGAGGTGCTCAGTGCCAGGGTCCAGAAAGCCCAGGGCATGCCAGAAGGAGGGGGCGCTCTTGCAGAAGGGTTTCAAGTGAGGATGTTTGAATTTCAGAATTTTGAGAGGCGATTTGAGGAATGCATTTCCCAGTCTGCAGTAAAGACCAAATTTGAGCAACACACAGTCCGGGCTAAGCAGATTGCAGAAGCCGTTCGTCTCATCATGGATTCCCTGCACATTGCCGCCCAGGAGCAGCGAGTTTACTGTCTGGAGATGCGGGAAGAGCGGCAAGACCGGCTGAGATTCATCGACAAGCAGCTGGAGCTCCTGGCTCAAGACTATAAGCTGAGAATTAAGCAGATTACAGAGGAAGTGGAAAGGCAGGTGTCCACAGCCATGGCTGAAGAGATCAGACGCCTCTCTGTGCTGGTTGATGAGTACCAGATGGACTTCCACCCGTCCCCAGTTGTCCTCAAGGTTTATAAGAATGAACTACACCGCCATATAGAGGAAGGCCTGGGCCGGAACATGTCTGACCGCTGCTCCACGGCCATCACCAACTCCCTACAGACTATGCAGCAAGACATGATAGATGGCTTGAAGCCCCTTCTGCCTGTGTCTGCGCGAAATCAGATAGACATGCTGGTCCCTCGCCAGTGCTTCTCCCTCAGCTATGACCTGAACTGTGACAAGCTGTGCGCTGACTTTCAGGAGGACATCGAGTTCCACTTCTCCCTTGGATGGACAATGCTTGTGAACAGGTTCCTGGGTCCCAAGAACAGCCGCCGGGCCTTGATGGGCTACAGTGATCAGGTTCAGCGGCCTATCCCTCTAACACCTGCCAACCCCAGTATGCCCCCCTTGCCTCAGGGCTCCCTCACACAGGAGGAGCTTATGGTCTCCATGGTTACTGGCCTCGCCTCTCTGACATCCAGAACCTCCATGGGCATTCTCGTGGTTGGAGGAGTGGTGTGGAAGGCAGTGGGCTGGAGACTCATTGCCCTCTCATTTGGACTGTACGGCCTCCTCTACGTCTATGAGCGGCTAACCTGGACCACCAAGGCTAAGGAGAGGGCCTTCAAGCGCCAGTTTGTGGAATACGCCAGTGAAAAACTGCAGCTCATTATCAGTTACACTGGCTCTAACTGCAGCCACCAAGTCCAGCAGGAACTATCTGGGACATTTGCTCATCTGTGCCAGCAAGTTGACATCACCCGGGAAAATCTGGAGCAGGAAATTGCTGCAATGAACAAGAAAGTCGAGGCTCTGGAGTCACTTCAGAGCAAAGCCAAATTGCTCAGGAATAAAGCTGGCTGGTTGGACAGTGAACTCAACATGTTCACACACCAGTACCTGCAGCCGAGCAGATAGTGGGCAGCGGGGGCGGCCTGCGCAGAGAGGCAGGGCTGCACCTCCCATGGGCTCCAGTCCTTGGCCACTGCGGAGAGAAGGAAAGCATCCACTGTCCTGTACTGTTTGAGCCTCCACACCAGTTACCCGACCCCTGCAGGAGACCCCGGTGCACACCCTAATTGGAGACTGACAAGGATGGGTCAGCTCAGCATGAGGAGTCACGCGTGTCGGTGTCTGCTCAGCATGTTCACCTGGTTGAAGTTCGCTGCATTTGAGAAGGTCTTCCTCAGGGTAGCACCCTGCAGAATACTGAGGGGAACCCTCACAGGCATCAGGCAGACACTCCCACCTTCTCCAGCCCAAGCAGGCACACCTAGCGAAAGACAATGTGGGGGTGACTGGACTCCCCAGAAGAATTCAGGATAGTTCTGGAAGGGCCATGTTTGTCCCAGAAGGACTTGTATCTTGAGTTTGGCCTCAGCTTTAGCGCTTTTCCCCACTTGCAGTCTCTGAGTTGTGCTTGGTGGCCAGGCTCAGCACACCCTGGGCTTTAGACTCAGGCAGCTCGTATGGGAGGCTGGGGACCTCTGCCAGGCAAAGCAGAGGGAGAGCTCAGGAGAAGGCGTGTGGATTAGGGTATCAGATGTGGTGGTGCTGACGTCTGACAGGATGAGATGGGGCTTGCCTCCCTTCTTGCCATTGAGGCCCTTGCTCTGATTTCAGCTCTTGGCCTGATGGTCCTGGTTTATTAGTGAGAGCTAGTGTGGTCCAGGTGGTTAAAGGATGTAGCAGGAGGAATGGTGGAAGATGGGGCTGCCTGGGGTGGCTGGAGAAGGTGGGTACAGAAGAGATCCCTCTCGCGACCTGACCTAGCACTGAGGGGCGCACAGCCTGTGAGCCCACCTCCCTAACTCCAGCTCATCTCTGCCTTGCTGCAAGCTCCCCGTGGCCACCATTCTCTAGACTGTACCCTGTGTCGATGCCTGCAGCTGGCCACAAAACAGCATGAGAAGCCAGGCTGCCATTTTCCTACTGCCCTGACCCTCAAGCCTCATCCCATTCTACTCCTGAACCTCCTGCTGCTTGCTTAGCCTCCTGTTGACTCTGAGCTTCCCCTTGTTGAGGGTTGAAACTGTTACTGGTCAAAGTGGGGAAGATTCCAGTCACCCAGGTGGATTGTCTGAAAAAAACAGTTTCAGGTTAATGAAGACTTGTAGACCGGGTAGAGAGTGTCTTAGAGATAAACCATTGGGCTGCATCTCCTCCCAGAAGCCCACAGCCAGGAGCTCCCCTAGGGACAAGGTCCTGCTGGTTGGCTGCCCATGGCCATGTGCTCTCTTTCCCTTCAGCCTACCCTGTTTACTGGGATAGTGATGGTCTTGATCCGGCTCAGCATGTAATGGGAAGAAGTCATGAGTGTATTACTAGTCTGGACAGATGGGGTCACCTCACAGTGGGTCAGGACAAATCAGTGTCACATGATCCCAACATGTTGTATTCTTTTGGGGGGGGGGAATAGAATAAACTCTTTTTCAGTATAAAAAAAAAGAGTGGAAAGCCAGCTGATTCTGTGGATCTGTTTGCAGCTGTGTTCATTTGTCATAGCTGAGTTGCTGAAAAGCCAGGGATGAGCAGCTATCCCATGCTTTTGTGCCCCAAGTTGGATGCTAGGTACAGTGTAAGTCTAACTAATATTATCAATAAAATCAGAATCAGATATCAAGGTAAAAATCTGAAAAATCAGGAAAGCGGAGGAGCAGCCACAGTGACTTCTTACCTTTTCCATTCTTTCATCCAAAAGGCTTGAGATCTTGTCCCTGCCCCACCTATTCACTTCACTCCCTGTCTCCTTTCTGCACATTCCTCCAGATATCTAATATTAACTAGTCACTAGCTCCATACTCCAATTCCAAGCAAGTTTTATTTTTCAGAACAAAAACAAAATATCATATAACACCCATCATTTTACTCTAAGGAGTGTCTTAGTGTTTCTATTGCTGTGAAAAGACTCCATGGTCACAGTATCTCCTATAAAGGAAAACATTTAATTGATGGCTTACAGTTCAGAAGTTCAGTCCATTATCATCATGGTGAGGAGCATGGTGGCAAGCAGGCAGACATGGTGTTGTCTACATCTAGATCAGAAAGCAACAGGAAGTGGACTGTAACTCTGGGTGGTATATTGAGCATAGAAGAACTGAAAGCACATGCCCACAATGAAACATTAGCTTTAATGAGGCAATACCTACTCCAACAAAGTCATATCCCTTAGTGGTGACACTTCCTTTAGGAGCCATTTTCTTTCAAACCACTATATTCCATTCCCTGGTCCCCAAAATTCTAGCCATATCATAATGCAAAAAATGTTATCAGTCCAACTTCAAAATTCCCCATAGTCTATAACAGTCTCAAACTTATTTCAAAATCCAAAATATCTTCTGAGACTCATCTCAATCTCATCTCAATCACCTGTAAAATTATCTTGGATTTTTTTGCTACTGTGTTTTGTCCTGAAACTTGTAACATTAGGAATTCAATTTTTGTGCTTTGTTTTTGTGGGTTTTTTTTTTAGTATTTTTTTAAAAGTCTTCTTTGACAACAGGATCCTATTGCTAAGGACAACATCTATATAGCTCACCGAATGTAAAAAGATCAAGTTTGTACCTTCACGGAGCCTTCACTTCTAAATTCTAATCTCTATAGCATGAAACAATACTCTACATAATATGAATAAAAATATGGACTTCAGCTTTATCATAAAACCCTCAACCTACAATCTCTCCTGCCTGTAAGAGGTGTTAGGGTAATCAATGTTGGCACAGAACTTGTAGGAGTAGCCAAACAATTTCTGTTTTAACAACAGGACCACATACAAGAGGGAGGCCATGCCCTACACTTCCTGGATAGAGACCCAGGGAAGAACCAAACACTATCGTACTCTCATTGGCCTGTACAACTTGATTCACTTCATAACAAAGCTGTAATTCCAGGTCTCTGGCTTTTGGTAGAAGTCTAAGTATGTAGTGAGAGAAAACAAAGGTTTCTGTGAAACACAGAGGATGGACTGTGATTGGGATCACAGTTCTCTGACCTCAGACAGAACTGGTTTGAGTTCATAAAGGCTCAGATTTCAGTGAATTGCTATAGGTGCTGCAAGAGTTTGTTTATTTCCCTTGCTGATTCTTTCATTGCTTTGGACACAGCTTCTTAAAAGAGCCTGAATAATGTAATTAGCAAATGTCAAACGCATTCTTGATGTATCTGAGTTTGAATTTAGAACCTCATAGGCTAAGATTTTATTAATCTCATTCTGTATCTTTAATTAATAGTGGGCACATTAGATTCTACTCCATTATGATGTCATAAGTATTACAAGTATTTTCAAACAGAAATATTCCACTACTCAATTTTAGGATTCAGTGAATTGATAGAAGGTCTTGTTGGTTACTCTTCTTAGGAATGCCTTTTTGATCTAAAAAAAAGTTTATTCTGTAAGTCTGCTTTCTTGTTAACCTATGGGCTAGAAACACTGACTTCTTAGCACCATCTAAAGTCGCTTTCCTTGAGTTAAAAGACCCTACTCTCTCCCATCCATCAGTTTTCTAATAGGCTATATCGTCTCTTCCTCTTGCCCACTGACTTCATCCAAATCAATTTTTATACAACATGCAAGTAAGAAAAATGGAACCAGGCAAAATTCTTTAGGGAAAAGAACATTATATTTATTACAACAAGTGATTAAAACATTAGTGTCTTTCTTCCAGGTTGGTAAATGTGTCTTCAATAGCCTGTGAGTTGCTAAGTGGTATAGATCAACCAGCCATGGTGTGTCTCATTAGCATCACCTCAATCAGCAGCAGCAGCATGATTATCCACACTTAGTAGCTTGATGTAGAAGACATGACAAAGGCTATCGTGCTAATATTCATCCGAAAATGGAAAATTGGGATGGCCAGCAGCACTAAAATATGAAAGAAAAATAACCAGTGTGGTCTTAATGAATCTTGTTCAAACAAAATGTGTAATGACTGTTATTAAAAATTTTTATTATTTCTTGCTTGCTCTGGAACTAGAATGAATTTTAATTGTTTTATTTTTTTTTGGTTGCAGAATCTGCCCTTCATACCTTCATAAATGTAGTTTCATATAAATATTTTTAAAAAACATAAATTATTTAGATTACATTCCCTGGTCTAGAACAGAAAACAAAGAAAAAAGTTTTCACATATATACTTCTTAACTTTATCTGTCAATCAACACAGCACAGAAAACTCCAGAATCTTCCGCAGTTTAAATCGCCTAAGGAAAATAGGTGCTGATTGTGCTTGTTTAGTACAAAGACAAGTCCCAATATTTACCAATACAAAAATTAAGAGTTCCTGACTTGCGATATCTAATTTCAATTCTGCTTAATATGCACTAGTTATTTTTATCATTCTGCATCTCACACAATTTGTTGTATTTAAATCAGAGATATAATGTCTTTAAAAAGTATTTCATATCCATGGAATTTCCCATGTATGTTTGTGGATTTATTTATAAAAATACAAACACAATTTATAAAGTTATAATAATTACTAATCATTTGATTGTTTCTCTCTTTTTGTAGTAATTCCATACTTTATCAATCATTTGCTCTATACTAACATAATTAGTAATAAGTATACTAGTTTTTGAACTCAGATAATTGTGGATTATCCAATGCCATTTCAAACACTATCATACTTATTTTTTATGAATATTATTTTATATAACAAAAGGATAATAGATTTTCTTATCAACAAACAATACCACTAAACAAAGAAGTACAGGCAGCTATTGACTACAGAGAGAAGAATTATTATCTTCTGAGGATGAGTCCTTTGATTGGCTATTCAATAAAAAGGGGTAAGTCTTGGAATCATATACACATAAGCAACACTAAAGAGACTTTTAAGACTATATTTATATATGTGCACACACATGTGTCACAACACTAAAAATAAAGAGGCTATAAAATTGACAGAATATAAGAGGGAGCATGGGGTGGTAAGAAAGCAGGGACATGAGAGAGGCTAGAGAGAGTAAAAGAAAGGGAGTAAATAATTTGTTTTAAGTTTATATGTAAAATTTTACATTTTAATTTAAGGTAATTTTAAAACAATGCTTATGGTTTTCTTATTTGCTCACACTTGTAAAATACAGTTAGGATCTTCTTCTAAAGAAGAAAATGAAAGAAGAGAATCTTTTTAAATGTTATAAAATCTCTTTAGTGACTGTACTTCTGCATAAATATTCTTTCTTTGCTTTTGAATTCCTCAGCAAAGCTTCTCTTAGCTTGTTCATGAAAACCTTTTTATCTCTGAAACTCACCAAAAGTTCCATTGTGGACTACTGAACAAATTTGCACCAAAGCAAGTGAGAGGTTTAAATAAATTTAGGCAAATTGATGCAACATGTTTGTTATATACCCTTATAGCGTTTTTGTTACTTACACAGTCGCAGGAAAATATCTGAAATTTCTGTGCAGGCCATCTATGACTTCCATATCCTCTGGAGGCAACTGGAATTCAAGTACCTATTACACAAGAAAAAAATGTTTTCACAAATTTACGCTGTAAAATTGCCAATCTTCAAAACCCAAGTTAATTAGATTGGTTCAGATACAATATCTAGAATATCTGATAAATTTGCAAAAAATAATAAAAGAGATCAAAAACTGCACAAGTTATCAGGGATTTTAAGTTAAATGAAAAAAAACTTCTTTCTTGTGTGTACTATCTAAATTAATACTTTCAGAATATTACATAATTTTGAATAATTTACATAATATAACATATCCATTCTACAGATCCTTCCCTTATCATTTTCTCTACTCTCCCATTTCTTCTCATCTAACTGTGAAATTGCTTTTTATTTTCATCTTTTCCATTGAGTCCATTTTATGCTGCCCACTTACTTTTGGTATTGTCATAGCAATAGTCTGTGATTAGCTTTCAGTGGTGACATCATTAAAGAAAAGTGACTCCTCTCAATAGCTGTCAAATATAGCAATAACTTCTCAGCTAAAGGTGTTATTACATGTACACCTTATCCCTTCTTGCTAGAATTTTGCATAGCTAAAGCTTGCAAATATTTTGGGCATACTATCACAATGACTTTGAGTTCAAATGCACAAATGCTTTGTTTTATCTGGAAAATTCTATTTCCTTCATGTTATCAATAACTCCCAAATGATATTATCTTTCTTCCTCCCATTCTACAAAGATACCTTAGCTTTGGGGAGAGATATATTGAAACTGTA